CGGACGTCTCACCAAACACACCAAGTTCGTGCGGGACATGATCCCAGAGGTGCGCGGCTTTGCCCCCTACGAGCGGCCGGCGCGCCATGGAGCTGCTCAAGGTCTCCAAGGACAAGAGCGCCCTCAAGTTCATCAAGAAAAGGGTGGGGACGCACATCCGCGCCAAGAGGAAGCATGAGGAGCTAAGCAACGTGCTGGCCACCATGAGGAAGGTAGCTGCCAAGAAGGACTGAGCCCCTCTGGAATAAAGCTAGGCAGAAAAAAAAACAAAAAACAAAAAACTAAAACTAAAAATTCCATTCAATCCAGCTATTCTCCTTTCAGGTATTTTCCTGAAAGAGTTAGTGACATTTTATTACAATGACTTCATACCCATAACAGCTAAATCTTAGCAGCAGCCTCTAGGTCCACCAATAGATAAATAAGAAAATAAAGTGTACTATTTATATAACTAGACTACTATTCTGGCACAAAGAAGAGTAAATGAATCATTTGTAGGAAAACAAATGCACCTTGAAACCATAATCTTACATGAAATAAATCAGACATACAAGATTAAATATCTCACGATTTCTCTTGAGAAATCTGAAATATAAAAAAAGAGCAAAAAAAAAAGACAGATAACAGAAAATAGGGAGGCAGATCTTTTGCAAGAGGGAAGAGAACCAAGACATGGAAGGAGGAAAAAGGGTGGACTAGGGAGGGGAACAGAAAAAGGAAAAGATGTGTAACGTGTATGTACCAACTCCCAAGAGGAATGTAATCACTGTGTACTGCAAACACATACCAACAGAAACAGGAACAATGAAAAAATAATAACAAAAGAATGAGACTTAACTTTAAGAGCAACACCAGAAAAAGAGCTCAGTGCGGTCTTCTTAGTCAAGCAGAAGGAATTCAACAGTAAATCAGTGCAGTAGATACACCTGCTTACAACTGGAAACTTCTGTTCCCCTTTATTACAGCTCAAATATTACATGTTGAAAATGACAATGCTTTAGGAAAAAAAGAACTAAAGTGCCCACAAATAAAAAAGTTTACAAGAGCTTCTTATTATGTGCTTGTTTTTTGTTTAGTTTTGCGGTACCAGGGATTAAACTCAGGACCCTGCACTTGACAGGCAAGTGCTTATTCTACTGAGCCATCTCCTAGGCCCATGTGTTTGGTTTTGTAGGAGGTATAAAACTTAAGAAAAAAACATAAAAAGATATATCCATAATTATAAATAGCCACAAAAAATCATTATATGAATTTCAAAATAATGTAATATAATCTAAGGGTCAAGTAAAAGGTTTGGTAAATCAAATTTCTTGGGCAAAAATTTAAGTAACTACCAGCTAGATGGATTAATCTCAGTTAAATATTTAGTTCCCATAACCTATCTTATAACTACTCTACATAATGCTTTAAGTATTAATATGCTAAAGCAAATAGAAAAAGAAAAAAAAAAAAACTCCAATGAGATGAAAAAGGAAGAAGAGTGTTACATTTACAAGCCAGTTCCATCTGGAGACCAAAGAAGCATACTGTTTCTTATTGCATAATAAACCAAACTGATTAAATATTAAGGGTAAAGTATATTGAAGAGTTATAAGTGAAAAAACCTTTATGAATAGTAAGAATTACTAATTGTAGGCAGCAAGTACTAGTGAATACTTTGTGCCACATCCTATTTACATGGATGATTTTATTTGCTCCTCGCGGAAGCCCGGCAAGACCATATTATTTTCATTTTATGGAGGTAGAAATTTTGGTTCAGAGAGCTTATGTTACTCCACATAGGTCTCCTCAGTGAGCTGCAGGGTCATAATTCACACCTGGGCAGGCACACTCTAAGCCCATGCTCTTATTTGTGTAAAGAAGACAGCATATGATGCACAAAGAAAAAATAAACAAACCAAACCCCTCAAAACCAACTTACCTTCAATGTTTGCTTACCTTGAAGACCTGCATATTTAAGAGATGACCAGTTTGGTATGTTATAACAACCTCCACCATCTTCTTGTTCTTCTGACTCACATCGGTAAAGTATTTGATTTAGCTCAGCCAAATTCAACTTAGAGGCAATACTGAGAATTAGAGAATAAGGCAACTGATTAAAAATATAAAAATTTCAGGGCTGGCGAGATGGCTCAGTGGTCTAAAGCACCTACTTGGAACAAGCTTGGCAAAGCACAAGGACCACGGTTCAATCCCCCAGCACCACATG